AGATGTGTGTAGCGTTGCTACGAGCTCTAGGGAGCAAGGAGTTTAGAAACTCGGACAAGAAATTGTCATTAAAATTGCGTGTACGATTGCACCGATATTCGTTGAATAACGGGTTTCTATATTATGGCACCAATTAAACGGATACACCACAAATTGTGGTTCCTCATGATGAGGATTTAAATTACCGCATCCTCTATGAGGCTCACGACACGCCACTCAATGGTCATCTCGGTCGTGAGAAAAACGTACGACTCTGTGAGTCACCACTATCGGTGGCCCAAGTTGTACAAATGGACGAGCACCTATGTGCGACGTGTGAGACTTGTCAACGGGTGAAACCCGCTCCAAATGCGTCTGCGCCGATGGCCAGCTTACTGGTACCCACTGGGTGCTGGCAGTCCATGAGTTTGGACTTTACGTTTGGCCTGCCGATAGATTTGGCGGTCAACACGGGTGTCGTGGTATTCGTCGACCGGTTGAGCACGATGGCTCATTTGGCGACGGTACCAGACACCATCGACGGAGTCGGTACAGCAACGCTGTTCTAGATCGTGTTTCCTGTCAACACGGACTCCCATAGTCGATTGTCTCTGATAGAGACCCCGTTTCACGGGAAAGTTTTGGTCGACTATTTTCAAGGTGCTCGGCACCAAGTTAGATATGTCGAAAGCGGATCATCCGCAGACCGATGGTCAAACCGAAAGGATGAATCGCGTCATCGAAGACGTTCTTTGCGGCGTCTGCGCTGAGACGCTGAGACGCCGAGGCGCTGGAGCGCCATGTTGCCACTCGTAGAGTTTGCACTGAACAATGCAGTGCATTCGTCTACCGGCTGCACGCCGTTCTATGTGAACGGGCTGGTTCACCCTTGCGTCCCGCTGACGCTGCCATCCCATGGCTTAGGGCTTGGTGGGGGGAATAGCCGAACGGCTAGCTGATGTCAGCCCCGTCACCATCCGCGGAGAAGTCGATGACTTCTTGTCTACCAGACTGAGTGTCCTACGACACGTTCGCAATGCG